ACGTTCAGAATGCTCACTGATGGAGGAGACGGACAGATTGGGCAGTAATCGGATCGGCGACGGCGGAGCCTGGGCGATTGCTGAAGCACTCAAGGTGAACACGACGCTGACTTGGTTCTAGTAAAGCATCTTACTTTGATATATGAGTGATTTCAGCAGATGGCATTACGAGTGCTAACTGACGGAGAGATGCGGACAGTCTGGATTCAAATCAGATTGGCGATGCTGGAGCGCAGGCGATTGCTGAAGCACTCAAAGACAAGCCGCTGGCTGAGCTCAAGTAAGGCATCTCACTGTTACTGAAGCATCCACGAGTGGGTCATCCAACGGAGGACGTTCAGAATGCTCACTGGTGGAGGAGACGGACAGATTGGGCGGTAATCGGATCGGCGATGCTGGAGCGCGGGCGATTGCTGAAGCACTCAAAGTGAACAAGACGCTGACCCAGCTCGAGTAAGGCATCTCAATGTTACTGAAGCATCCACGAGTGGGTCATCCAACGGAGGACGTTCAGAATGCTCACTGGTGGAGGAGACGGACAGATTGGGCAGTAATCGGATCGGCGACGGCGGAGCCTGGGCGATTGCTGAAGCACTCAAAGTGAACAAGACGCTGACCCAGCTCGAGTAAGGCATCTCAATGTTACTGAATCATCCACGAGCGAGTCATCTAGCGGAGGGCGTTCAGAATGCTCACTGAGGGAGGAGATGGACAGGTTTGGTGACAATCCGATTGGTGATGTTGGAGCGCAGGCCGTTGCTGAGGCACTCACAGTGAACAAGACGCTGACTAGGCTCAGGTAAGGCATCTTACTTTGACTGATATATGAGTGAGTGATCCAGCAGAGGACGTTCAGAATGCTCACTGTTGGAGGGAACGGTCAGTCTATGGAGTAGTCAGATTGGCGATGCTGGAGCGCGGGCGATTGCTGAAGCACTCAAAGTGAACAAGACGCTGACCCAGCTCGAGTAAGGCATCTCAATGTTACTGAAGCATCCACGAGCGAGTCATCTAGCGGAGGGCGTTCAGAATGCTCACTGAGGGAGGAGACGGACAGTCTTGGTGACAATCAGATTGGTGATGTTGGAGCGCAGGCCGTTGCTGAGGCACTCAAAGTGAACAAGACTCTGACTAGGCTCAGGTAAGGCATCTTTCTTTGACTGATGCATATGAGTGGGTGATTTCAGCAGAGGGAATTCAGATTGCTCACCAATGAGGGGAAGGACAGTTTGAGTTGCAATCGGATTGGCGATGCTGGAGCGGTGGCAATCGCTGAGGCACTCACAGTGAATAAGACGCTGACTGAGCTCTAGTAAGTTGCTGTGCGCGTTGCTGTGCGCGTTGCTTGTATCGAACATTGAGCCTGGGTCAGCCATACCTTGCTCCGTTGTCATCCTGCTCACCCAATGTTTTGACAGCCTTACCTATAATTGCATAAGCGTCCTTGGGTCTGAAGCAATCTATCGGGCATGCACAGGCAAACGCAGATTGCAGGCTTTGTAAGTTTACTCTTGCCAATCACAGCCATTAGTGCTCAGACAATGTTCCTCCTACCGATGGAGTGGCCATACTGAAAGATCATATGCCTCGCTTGTTCGTTGCACAGTCACGGCTCTCGAGTCAACCCTCTTGCGTTTTCCTTACTTCCACGATTGGCGAGTGCTGAAGACATCCAAGAAGTGCTCGGCGTGCTGACCAGCGGGTTGGAGCTGGAGAATCAGCGCATATCTCTTCCAGCGCTACCAACCGAGATTGCCGAGCTCATTATGGACAAGGCGCATTGCTGGCAAGGCATGCAGAATACCAAACGAGAATACTTTCACATCGAAGACAGGCGCGTTCCGAAAGTTACTGTGCCTCAAGGAAATTCAATCCGTGTGAAAGCAATTCAAGTGCTTCGTGACTGGAGGAGCCGTCCCGACAACACCGACGACTGTGCTTTCGATTTGACTGTCCGAGATGAACAAGGTGCTGTTCGATACGAATGTGCTGTGCACCCGACTTTCGTTGATTCAAACCTCACACATGCGACAATTTGCCGGGCGAGTCATCCCATCGTCCGACAAATGCGTGAGGGCTGGCAAGTTCAAATTCGAGCCAGCGAGTTTGGCCGAGATGTGACATTTGAATCTCTTTATGTCGGATTTGGTTTACATGAGTGATTTTTGTTCGCTTTAAGTGCCTCGGCAATCGGTTTGCCTCCTTTGAGTGCCTACATTACAATGCTGTCCTCGTCGTGTTCGTTGAGGGTTATTTTTCCAACACTTCAAGTTTGAGCACTCGAGCATGTGGTGACACACAAATCCGAAACTGTTCACGCAAAATCGACCTAGCGCTCCAAAAGAAGAGTCATCCATTAGAGCAGTCGACATGTAGAATGGACAACCGGGCTTGCTCTCAAATTGCAATCCAATGGTCGCGTTGTTTAGAGCAAAATCAATCAGGACAGAAACGGAAACTGTGAACCTTTTTTTTTTTTTTTTTTTTTTTTTTTTTTTTTTTTTTTTTTTTTTTTTTTTTTGCTTTTGCCCTCGCTTGTGGCCCAAGCCAGCTACAATGTCAACATGGCGGTCGGATTCTGAATGGCAAAATACAGGATAAACACAACCACGGCCAGAATGATGCTGCCTGCCAGCAACACTGGTCCCGTGGGATCGTCAAACGACACGGAGGGGTCGCACGTCTTGAGCGCATGCGCGCGCCGCCGGAACACCCGCACGGCATAGAGCATAAAGACGAGCGCGATTGCCCACATTGCGCATCCCAGTCCCATGCCTGCGTTGTCAAAAAAGGTGATGAGGAGGGTGCCAATTGCGCCCAGCGACGTTGTCAAGGACAGCCAGCTGAGGAATGTCCGCTCGTTGGCAAACATGGTCTTGGGGTCGGCCACACCGTCGAGGCCCTTGCCCATCATAAACTCGAGCGCGGCCGGTTGTCGGAGGACATCGAGGTCGACTCGCGTTGAATTGCCAGCGCCAGCCGGGCCGTCGTCGTCATCGTCGCTGCCGAGTGCCTGCCCCTCTGCTTGTCGTGCTGCCTTGTTCTTTTTGCCTCCTTTCTTGCCCAGCTTGGCCGGCCCGCCCGAGGCAAAGCTGGCGGCTCGCGTCGACGTGATGTCCAGCTCGACGGCTGCGCTGCCGGCACCCATGTCGCCGCTGCTCCACCCGGCGGCGCCCGGCTGGCTTGATGCATGTGTGGCTGGCAGTTTGTTCCTGGACGACGACGACGACGACGACGATGCCGGCGGTGCAGACCCAAGCAGCAAAGGATCATCGCCGTCCGTTCCCAGCAGTCCGAACGTTGATCTCGACTGCTCGTCCTCCTCCAACCGATGGAACTTTGCCATTATTGTGTGGTAGCTGATCTAATCTGTACGCGCGGAGGGGGTTAAGTTGGTGGTGGTTGTGAGATGTCTTTGTGAGCACAGGGGGGTTTGGCAGCGAAATTGTGAACTGAGCCAAGTCTGAGCTTAACCAAATCGTCCGTTTCTATTTCCAACCTCATATTGCAGTTTTCATCTTCGGACGCACAATACTGTATTTGCACGAGCTGTTGTACATGTTTCTGTAGGTGTGGTTGGAGCCCACTGAGACCGCACTTTAGCTCTTTCAAACAAAAGCAGCCGCTCCAGTTCGTTCGTTTGTTCCAGATGCCCGTTCATTGTCAACACAACACGCCACACTGCCATTTCCAATTCCACACACTTGGAGTACTTTTTTTTTTTTTTTTTTTTTTTGGCTGCTCGATTTGGTTTCAGTCTCAATTTTCTCTCTCTCTCTTTTTTTTTTTCCGGCTTTCTTAACGCTTTTTCCATTGCTTTTTCCACTCGCACTCTCTTTTTCTCTCTCTCTCTCTCCCGTTGAGAAACTCGAAACCTCTCTCTCTCTCTATTTCTCAATTTCTCTTGCTCTAATTCTGTTGTCGTTCCAATGGCGCACAATCACGGCCAGCTGGGTAGCGCCGTGGTTGGCAGCGGTGGGCATCACCATCATGGCCACCATGCTGCTGCCAACCAGCACCTTGGGCATCACCACAACAGCCATCCAGGGCAGCAGCACCATCCACAGCACGGCTCACAACAACAACAACAACAACAACCACAGCAACAGCTGACACCTCAGCAGCAGCTCCAACAGCAACAGGGTGCGGGAGCGGGCAGCGGGGCCACTGGAACGCCGAGCACGTCGGAACGCGAAACGCTGCTCTTCCTGCAGACCTTCCAGACCAAGCGGTGCCCCGGGTGTGCTGACTGGGCGTCGTGCAAGTTCTACCACGACGCAAGCCACCGTCGACGGCCACCCATGAACGCGGCACTGACTGGCGTGCTCTACCTCCCCGCGCTGTGCGAACATCGCCGCGCCAACCGTCCCTGCCCCGACGGCGACGCCTGCTTTTACGCGCACACCCTCGCCGAAATCCAGTTCCACCCGCACGTCTACAAGACCATGGAGTGCGAGCCCAGCAAACGCCGGTGAGTGCGGTCTCGATGCATTTGTCACACCACGTCAGTGCAAATGGGTGTTCAAAGCGAACGGTCAATTGGAAAAAAAAAAAAAAAAAAAAAAAAAAAAAAAAAAAAAAACGACACGAGTTGCGATTCGTTTCGCCCTTCTTCTTTGTTCTTTGTGTTCCTGTTGCATCCTCAGAGTGGAGAGTGGAGAGTGCCCTGCAGTCGCAGAACAGCAGGAGGGCGATGTGACGAGTAAAAGCGCGTCAGTGAGAAAGCGCGGCGACATTGAACGTTTGCAAGCCCAAAAGAAAAAAAAAAAAAAAGGCGAAACTGTGGCAAAATGAATAAAAATTAAAAAAACGCCATTCAAACGCAATGCAGAAAAAAAAAAAAAAAAAGCTTTTGGTTTTTTTTCTATTGCTTTCCACGCGGTCTGTTTTTTTTTTTTTTTTTTTTGATTAATTCCTGTTTCACTTTTTGTGTGTCGTTTCGCTTTTTCATTGAGATGGCTTGGAAGTGAGAGTCCCGTTTTGGATGTGGATTCGCTTGTTCGAAGCAGTGCATCAAAATCTGCGCTTTGTGACGAGCGGTCGATCGAGAGCGAGAGAGAGAGAGAGAGAGAGAGAGAGCACACGCGAGCGAGACACAGAGAAGAGCGTGATTCCTGTTGGCACGCGCCCCCTACTCCCTCCCTACCTCGGCTGAAAGACCAGCAAGCCTCACTCACTCACCCACTCACTCACTTTGGACGTACGCATTCCACAAACCCCACCCCACCTCCCTCGGGACGCTAACCCCACCCCCTTTCATTTGGTAGATACCCGAACGGCGTCCACGATGTCAAACGATGCGCATTCGCTCACAGCGACAAGCGCGACTTTCCGCGCCACCCGGGCCTCTTCCCGTTGTTACAGCACGCCACCACGGCCGGATCCACCAGTGTGATAACAGCCAACGGCGTGCCAATCTTCCCGGCCGGCGGCGTCGCCCCGCACGGTGGTCCAGGGCTGCCGCAGCAAGCTCAGCCATCGCCACTCCCCCCCTCTGGTGCTGCTGCTGCAGCAGGACCAACAGCCGCCTATCACGCGGGTCACCCTCCTGTCGGCCATATGGCGACGTCCAACACGAGCAGCACAGCCGCCTCGCACCACACCTCGCCAACATCGACCAGCGGCAGCACCACCCCGACAAACGCTGACTCTGCAGATCTCAGTGCTGCCTCGCGCTCACGCACCTCATCGGGCTCGGGCAATGTCATCCGGCCGCGCACGACGTCGGGCTCGGGTAAGACGCGCAACGAGGCTGCGCACCTCCCGTACACTTCGTACGCCGCCGCCGCTCCAGCAGCAACAGCATCGTCTGCATCATCATCTGCATCTGCAGCAGCCACTTCTTCCTCTTTGTTAACGTCTTCCTCTCTTAATACTCTCGGTGCTTCGAGCACCCCCTCGCAGCAGCTTCAGCACGCTGGCAAGCACCACCATCACCACCACCACTCGCTTGCACAGGGTGCGTCCGGTCGCCCCGTCGAAGGGATTGACTGGGACCAGATCGGGATTCAGCCCGCCGGCTTTGTCTTCCCTGCTAGTAACTCACCCGACGGCTGGCCCAAGGAGCTCGATCGCCTGGAGACGGTCGCATCCACTGCAGCGACCACGCTGGAAAAGTCCATCAACGCCGAGCCGCGGCACCAGTACTTTTTGACGGACAAGTTTGAATCGGCTTCCGCCGACATTGCCGCCTCCTTCAGCAACAACACCCCGAACCTCACGGCCGAGAATTATGCCGAACTGATGCACAACGCGCTCTTTTTGGACGAGCTGGCCTGTCGCCGCAAATACCGCGAGTTTTCCGCTCACGACACGGTCATTGAGCTCGACGAGTTTGACGCCAAGCGCTGGACTCTGACGCTCGGCTCGGATCTCCGCATTGGCGAAGCGCGCCCGTCGCTTCAGGTGCACGATCGCGTCGACATTATGCCCTTGTTCTGCGACGCGGCCGCGAGCCACCTTCCGCCCGCGCAACGCAAGCAGGCATACAGGCCTGTTGCTCGCGGCAAGACGAGCACTGCCAGTGCCGCCCCAATCTCCTTTACGGGTCGCATTATCGATCTCGACTCGCAGCAGGTCACGTTCGAGCTGCCGGCTGCCTTGCACTCGCTGCTGCAGTACCACGCCGCGGCCACAGGCGTCGAGCCCGATCGCACCTCCTCCGCTCTCTCGGCTGATGGCGTTGCTCCTGGTGGTGTCGGCTCGGCGACAGCTGGCACGGACGCGACTAGCGCCGCCGCCGCCGCAGCTGCTGGCGAGTCTGGTGCCAGCGGCCTGCCCGATCGCATCCTGCTGCACTGCCACGTTCGCTTCACTTTTAGTCGACTGACATACCGCCTCAAGCATCGCGCTGTGGATGACATCCCGATGGAAGTTGTCTTCCCCCAGTTGAACAAGCACAAGTCCAAGCGTGACAGCGCCGCAGCCGCCGCGGCCCACCTGTCGATCGACGGCGTCATGCAGACCCTTGACTCGGACCAGCGGCGTGCCGTTGGCTTGATTACGGACGCGGCGAGCAACATTGGCACGGTGCTGATCTCTGGTCCTTTTGGCACGGGCAAGACGTCTTCGCTGATTGAGGCAGTCCGCCGGCTCTGCAAGCTGGGCAACATTGTCACCGCCCCGGCATCGGCCAACTTTGCAACCAACACGACCTTCCAGACGCGCGTCCTTGTTTGCACCCACACGCACAACGCAGCCGACGTCTACGTCGAAAAGCTGCAGGACTTTATGCGTGGCATTGGCGAGGCGTCCAACCCGGCGCAGCGCTCCCGCCCCGTGCTCTTGCGCGTCTACCCCGAGGACCGTAATGTGGACAGCGGCTCGCCAGCCGCGCGCTTCTCCGTGCTGAACGCGGCCGGCACCGCCTACCGCTGCCCTACGCTTGACGAGGTCAAGCAGGCGTCCGTCATTGTGTGCACTGCCGTCTCGTCCGTCATGATTCGCGACTTCTTCTCGGCCTCCGTGACCGCAGCCAACATTGGCAATCCAAGCATGGCCAACAAGCTCACTCTGACCCACATTCTGTGCGACGAGGCTGCCCAAGTGTCGGAACCCGAGATTGCCATCCCGCTCGCCCTGACCAACCCGCTCATTACCCGAGTCATTCTTGCGGGCGATTTCATGCAGGTGGGTCCCGACGTGTTTAACGACTCTTGCGTGAGCTTCCTGGGCCGCTCGCTGCTCGAGCGTCTGGTTGGAACCAACGAGCGCAACCACGTGCCAAACCCCGTGCAGCTGCGCAACAACTACCGCTGCCATCACGAGCTCGTGAGCTTGCCGTCGCACATTCTGTACGAGAGCCAGCTGTTTGCGCGCAACACCAAGATTGAGCTGCTGCGTGGCGACACCCATGCCATCCATGCCGTTTCCGTTCCGGCAGGCGCGTTGACCCCCAACCGAGTCAGCTTTTACAACTCTCCCGAGGTCGAGGCCGTCGTGGCAACAATCCAGCGCCTTGCACAGCTTGTGCGCTCGCACGACGAAATCTACGTTGTCGCGCCCTTCACCATGCAAGTTCAGGCCATTCGCAAGCGTCTGCGCTCGCTCAAAATGTCGGATGTGCGCGTCATCACCGTGCAGGCCCTGCAAGGCATCGAGTGCGAGGCCCTCGTCATCTCTCTCACATGGAGCCCCGAGCTCGACCTTGCCGCGTTCGATCCGTCCGTGCCCACCGACAAGCTTCTGCCAGCCGAGCCACCGATTGTCTCTGATTTCAAGGTCATCAACATGGCTTTCTCGCGCGCTCGTCGCCACGTCACGATCGTAGGCCATCCCGTTGCATTCCAGCGCACGATTTGGCCGCAGTTTGTTTCCTGGTGCGAGCAGCATGGCACGTTGAAGGACGCGGCCACCCTTCCTCCCGCGTCCTCCAGTCACGTCATGTCGAAAGGCCAAAAGGCGCGTGTTCAGCAGCAGCAGCAGCAACAGCAACAACAACAGCAGCAGCAGCAACAACAACAGCAGCAGCAACAACAACAACAGCAGCAGCAACAGCAGCTTCAGCACCATTCTGTGCAGCCGCAGCAAGCCATGTTTGGCGAGCACGCCTGGAACGACGCCAACCCATCGAGTGAGGGCGGTGCCGAGCACTTTGCCAGCGGCTCTGGATTTGCTTCTGCATCGCGCTCTGTCAGCCCTCCGAAACGCCTTGCCCCGCTGCCAATGCTGGCTGAAACTGACCTGCCGGCAGTGAACAATCCAGTCTCCAAGCTCGCGCTCGTCCAACTGAAGGACATGCACAACATCGTGACCTTGTTGCTGCATTCTGCGCGCAATGCTGCCCTTGCTGATCCGAACGTTGCTCCAGCAGCGCTGTGGTCGCAGGCGTCCGATCGTGAGAGGCTGATCAAGCTCATCTCACTCAACCATGGCCTGGCTTCGATGCAGGGTCTCCTCGTTGGTGCTTCGGCTGGCGTGTCGTCGACGACTGCAGCCTCCGGCCCGAGCGCGCTCAACGGCCCCTTGATGCATCCGCTCGCCACTCCTGGATCCATGTACACGAGCATTTTGCCTCCCCCTGGTATGAAGGGTCTGCCAAACGCCTATGGCGCGACGGCCGCCGCGTCTGCGTCCGGTCTGTCTCATTTGACGCCGCTCCAGCAGCATCAGCAGCATCAGCAGCAACAGCTTCTCTTCCAGCAGCAGCAACAGCAGCAGCTGCATGCCTCCGCGCTTCACTCGCAGCAGCTTCATCATGGCCAACATTTGCATTCTGCTTCGCATGGTCACCCGTCGTCCCTGATGCCATCGCAACAGCAGCAACAACAGCAACAGCAGCAGCAACAACAACACTCGACACAACTGTCTTCGTCGCTGCCGTTGCCTGGTCAACAGCAGCCGCCATTCGGCTTCGCCGAGAATAGCGAGTTTGATTTCGGAAACGGTTCGTCCTTCCTGCCTGGCCTCAAGACCGACTTGTGGACGAGCGCAGCGTTCGATCCCATTGGCGGCACCATGCTCGACGATCGCGCGATGGGCTTCATGGGAGACGACGGTGCTGCTGGTGCAGACCCGACGGCCGCCAGCAACTCTGCTTGGAACAGCTGGGATACTTACACCGCCTCCAGTCTCCAGCACGCGCCACAAGCTCACGGGTTTGGCGATGACGCCTTTAGCAGTACTGACAGGTAATTTTGTATTTCGCTTTTGTGTGCGTGCGTGCGCGCGGCTGTGCATATGCCAGTTGACTCATGCCGCGGTGTTTTGTGCTTGTGCGTTCATCAGAACCCGGTATGGCAGCGTGAATGGCTCAGGACGCTCGTCGTTCTCTGGTAGCCGCGCGTGGTAGTTGTTTTCAGCCAGTGCTGTGACCAGCGCAGTGCCCTCCTCTTCCTCCCCTTACTTTTTACAAGCATCTGGCTCGCGGACGGCGGCTTTTGGCCTGTCCTTGTGGTTTGACTTTATGGCTTCGTATTGTCTTTTCCTTTCTTTTTTCTCTTTTGACTTGTTATTTCTTGGTATTTCCCCCCCCCCTTTGTTGTCGTCTTTGACTCCCTTCGCCCCTCTCCGACTCCCCCATTGATTCCCCCATTCTTTTCTTCGTCTTCTTGCCCCTCTCTTATTTCGTTCTTAGCTTGACTATTGGCTTAGCAACCCTTTCTTAGCGCCATTACTTTGATGTTGATGTCTTTTTATCTTTTCATTTTTTTATTTTTTTTTCTTATATTTGTTGTATTTTGTTATCTTCTTCTTTGGCTCATTTCAAATGGAAGCATTTTTTTTATAAACTCGTTCAAACACGTTGTCCTTAGTAAGTCTATCCTGAGCGCTCATACAAGCTCCTCCAAAACGGGAGTTGTCAAGTCAGTCTATTTCTCCATCTAATTTGCCATCACGCACGATCCTGGTGACATCATGTTCGGCCAGGGTGAGTTTGGCGACTCTGGCAGCAACTCGACGACCGACTCGGGCGCTCCGGACTATGTTCCTGCCGTGCTGAACGACATCCGGCTCATTGCTGCGGGTGTCATTGTGCTGCTTGGCGTCATGCTGAAACCGCGAACGAGCGAAGCCCACCTCAAACACATGGGACCGTCCGTTCCGATGTAAGCCACGTCCACTATCGTTGCCATCACGATCGCGCAAGCTCCATGCGTGATTCTCCCCATGCAATTGAGGTGGAGGCGATTGGGGAGGGGGCGGGCGCGGAGGTGAAAGGGTTGAGTGGGTTTGTTTTGATTGTTTCGGCTCAGGAAGCCTTGGCTCAGGAGCAGAAGGCGCATGGTCGATGGCGAATGTTGGGGGGGGGGGTGGTGGTGGTATGGATGGGATGAAAAGGTTGTGGGTGAATAAATGGTTTGGAGGGAGCCGTGGGATTGATTGTTTGGGATCCAAATTCGCATGGCTGCAATCACTCAACTCACTTGCATCGTCCAACTTGTACCGAACGCTACCTCTTGCTTGCTATTAGACCAATGAACTTTCTGGAAAATCGCAGCGAACGCTTGATGACGGCATTTCTGTTTGGCTCTGCGGGCAGTTCGATTTTCTCGGTGTACTTTTTCGATCCGCTCCCGGACAGCGTCAATACCTACTATGTGCAGTATTACTACATGGCGCTGTTGCTTCAGGTGGCCTTCCAATTCTACCCGCTATTCGTTTGTCACACGTACCGCGACCATCCGCTCATGCTGGTCGTCGGATGGCTGTATTCCATGTACATGTTCGCGCTGCTCGTGTACAGCACTGCCATTCAGGCAAACTTCTTCCCGTTCGCCGTATCGGTGATACCTACATTGATCTGCATGGCGATTGTCGTGCTGCATTTCACCAAAGGAGTTTTCTTCCTGCTCACATCCAAACACTCGAGCTCGACAGCATCCGACCATGCCGAAACGCTTGAAAAGTACCGAGTCTATGTCCAGTCCCGGCTGGTGGCTCGTGCAGGCGCGCCCAGGGCTGGGTTTGCACCTCCAACATCCTCTGACGGTCCAGGACTGCGTTCGGGCAAAATCGATCGCTTCCTGCATGACGACAGCATGAAGGCGCTCTTGCGACCCAGAGGCAGCCTTCCTGTGCGGTTTGAGAGTGTTTCCCCCGCCACGGCTTCTACCACCACCACCAGCCCCCAATCCTTCACATTGCCCTTCTACCAGACCGTTCCTGGATTTCTGTACTCTCCGCGTCTCATCTCGACCTTTGTGGTGACGGGCGTCATCCTGTTCGAGCTCTTCATCCTCCTGCTGTTTATCGCCTTGTCGGTGTCGGACTTGCTCGTCGAGTTGTACAGGAATGCTGTTTCTCAGCACACGCTTGACGAAATTCAAGTCATTTCAAAAGTGTGCGCCCTCGTTGCCATGGCCTTGACGATCCTGTTGCTGGTCTGGTGTGCATTCCAGACCATCCTCACGTACCGCAGCCACATTTGCATGATGCGTCGAGGCAACTACTCGTTCATTCGACCAGGCATTCTCGCACAGAGGCGCCACATGAGCGACACTGTGCGATACTCTGGCTATCAGATTGCCTACATGATGCTCAGTTTCGCGTTCACGTCCATCGTTCTATTGCTCGTCTGCTCGTTGATCGCAATGAGCTTGTTTGTCGATGCGATTCGCGAGGTGTTTTGGCCGTGGGCGCTCAACTACTTTTTCTTCCCGCTGCTGGTCTCGTTTGGATTTATGTTTTTCCAGTATGTCCTCGCCCGATTCGTTTTCAGCGTGGACATGTCGATGAGCATTGACAATCGCCGGCTTTGGCACAACTTTGACTACTTTTACATTTTCGTCAACATTGTGGTCGGTCTCTTCTCGTACTTGGCGCGCGTGCTCAAGGCACTGCTCTTCATCGCGCTCTTCTTCTCTCGTCTGGACAAGTGCGTCACACTGAACGACTACGAGGGGTGGGACCAAGGCTACCGTGCGTACATTGGATTCCTCATGCTCGATCACTACTACGGCAACCCGTACCTGGTGCTTGCCGTCGCCAACTTTGCCTCCCATCAAAGCGTAGATTCGCACCAAGCATTGATGCAACCGGCTAGCACGCGAAACAGCTCCGGAAATGGCGACAACGCCGCCAAACGCAACCGAATGAGTCTGCACCAAAAGATGTCCAACCGAGTCCTAGCCACAAGCACATCCAACGACCCCTACGAGCCGCGTTCGCGCCCATTGCTCGCACATAGCGACGAGGAGAATTCGTACCATACGATTGCTCGGCCGAGAGATCCCGATTCTGCAGGGTACACCAAGGCGCGCCTTCGTTGGCAAGTGGCGTACACGCTCCTCAACAATCCGCACATCATTCCCCTCAGAAAGCACCATTTGGGGACGTCACTGTTCTCTGTGCAATACCAGCTGGTGGCACCTTCGTCCAGCGTCACGCCCTCTACCTCTTCCGACGCCTCGCGCTCCTCGACGACCTTGTAGAGGGATGTATGTTTGCATGTTTGGTTGTATGGTTTGTTGTTGTTGTTGCTTTGTTGTTTGTTTGATTGCTTGTTATTCGTTGCTTGTTGTTGAGAGTGGTCCGTCAGATTAGATTTTTATTGTGCATCTCATTGACTCGATGATCTTTCTCAGTCGCTTTGTAACGCTTCCATGTCTGGAAAGCTCACTCTTTTTTTTTTTTTCTTCTCCAAACAACAATCATGCACATTGGCGTCAACCAGCCCGGCGGCACTCAGCTCTGGTACGAGGTCGATGCCGAAGCGACCACCGTGGGCGCCTTCAAGGCTCTGATCCACCGCGAGGAAGGTCGGTTGCGCATCAATCATCCGCCATCACCATCATCCAGCATGCATGCATGGGTGATCACGACTTTTTGCACTCCTGTGCATTGATTGTTCAAAAAGTGGACGAATTTTTGTGCCACACACCCAACACTTGTTGCGCATTCTGTCGATCTGCTGCGTGTTGCTGCGCGCTGATGGTCGATCTGAAGACCAACAAAGCGAGTGTCAGTGTGATGAGTGCATGTGCGAGTGTGAGCAGCGAGACAACACGACCAACACGACCAAAACGCCGAACAAAAAAAAAAAAAAAAAAAAAAAAAAGCCAAAATCAATCTTCATTCTATGGGAAGTTTTTTTTTTTTTTTTTTTTTTTTTTTTTCGCGGTTTTTGGGGGGTCACGTTGAGCAATCCGTCACTTTTGGTCGCTTCGTCTTGCGCACCAGATTTGCCAAATCAACATTGAACAGAGCAAGAATCACAGAGCGAGTGGACCGCGATTGGAGAGCCAGACAGAGTTTTGAGCGACAATTGCCGAGCGAGTGTGTCGAGCCCAAAAAGATCAACGGATGCCTCATAAAACAAAAAAAAAAAAAAAAAAAAAAACCATTGAAAGACTTTCTTTTTTTTTTTCTTTTTTTTTTTTTTGGGAAGCATTTTTGAGCTGTTTCTGAAATTATTTTCTCGCTCTTGTTTGTGCGAGCAAAACGTTGATTTCTTCCATGATTTCTTCGTCGTTTGTGAATCGTTGAAGAAGTGAAAACGAATGATCAGAGCAACAATGATCTTTGTTTTTGATTTCATCCTCACTTGATGCCTTCGACTTCCCTTTTTTTGCTACAACTACTTCTTGCTGAATTGTTTGGTACTGCAGGTATTCCTGCCGAGATGCAGCACCTGTACTTCAAAGGCAGGCCACTGAACGACGAGCGCTCCCTCGCTTCGTACGAGATTGATGCCGACACCCCGCTCAACATGCGCACGGCCCTCGTCGGTGCTGGCGGTCTCTGCGACGTCAACCTCAAGGATTTCGAGCTCAAGGAGCGCTGCTGCTGCTGCTACTGCGGCATTGACGCTCACTGGAACATGTGCCAGTTCCTTTGCGTCCACGGCAAGTGCAACCTCGGCTAAGCAACGCGAGATTACTTCCAAACAAACTCGAGCGCTCAGACTGGGGGGTTTTTTTTTGTTTTGTTTCAAGCGAATAAACGAATGGTGCATTTGCAGCACTGCAATGTCTATGATGCTTTCATGTCCAATCTGTATTCAGGATCCAAAGTTCCTAACCTACGTATCAATTCCATTGCATCTCGGCTTCTTACTCTTTTTTTTTTTTTTTTTTTTTTCCCCCTTCCTTACTTACCTCACTCACGCACTCGCCCCTTTCACACTCACGCACTCACTCTCGCATCTCGGTCGTCGCAGGCATACCCTCAGTCAGTCAGTTCCACATGTCGGTGAAGGTGGCGGTGCGCTGCCGGCCGCTGAACGACCGCGAGCTCGCGATGGGCGCGCTGTGTGTGGTTGCAATGCCGCCCGTCGACCCCGGCTCAAGCGCGAGCTCTGGTAGCACTGGCAGCAGCATTGGTGGCGTCGATACAGTCATTGCATCGCCGTACACGCAGGGCAAAATCCACCGCTTTGCCTTCGATCACAGCCTGTGGAGCGGAAACACAAACATGGTCGCCTCAAGCGCAAATCAGCGCGGCACGAACGCTGCTGGTGACCAAGATGCCGAAGATGACCCAGATGACCACCATGACCAAGGGGACCAGCATCAAGCAAGTAGCAAGACCGCAAGTACCAATGCTGCTGCTGGCTCAGTCGGATCGGGATTGCGAACCAAGCCAGCCGCTCGCAACAATGCTGCTGCTGCTGCTGCTGCTGCTGCTGCTGCTGCAGAGCCAGTCATCCACGTCGATCCCGCAATTGCAGGCTTGCCGATGGCGCCGTTCGTCGACCAGAAGGGCGTGTACGAGTCACTCGGAAAGGATTTGCTCGAGCAGGCGTTTTGCGGATACAACACTTGCTTGTTTGCTTACGGCCAAACCGGCTCTGGCAAAAGCTACGCCATGATGGGCGCGGGCAGTGGAGAGCACCGAGGCATCATTCCTCGGTTTTGCGAAGACTTGTTTGCTCGAATCGAAACGGAGCAGCAGACCACGCAGACAGCCACAACGTTCAAGGTCGAAGTCAGCTACATGGAAATTTACAATGAGAAGGTCCGCGATCTGCTCAATCCAAAGTCGTCGCACACCCTGCGGCTGCGTGAACACCCACTGCTCGGACCATACGTCGAAGACTTGTCCACCAACGCCGTCACCTCTCTCCAAGACATCCTGACTCTGATGGAGGAAGGCAACAAGGTAAAACAGAGCACATCCGGTGGTGCATCAGTCTCGCTCTCATGCATGTTGCGATCATGCTCACGTCGTTGTTTTCTGCTCTCTTGCTTGCTTGCTTGCTTGCTTGTACGCAGATTCGCATTGTTGGCTCGACAAACATGAACGCAGTCAGCTCTCGTTCGCATGCCATCTTCACCATTCTGCTCACCCGAACTCGCGTCGACCCCGCCACCGGAATGGCGCTGGGCCAATCCAGTCGCATCAGTCTTGTTGATCTTGCTGGTAGCGAGCGCGCTGACGCTACGGGTGCCACGGGTACTCGCTTAAAGGAGGGCGCCAACATCAACAAGTCGCTCTCAACGCTTGGAAAGGTCATCGCCGCGCTCGCTGACATTGGCTCTGGCAAAAAGGCAAAGGAAACGCACGTGCCCTACCGAGATTCCACGCTCACCTGGCTCTTGAAGGACTCTCTTGGCGGCAACTCTAAAACAGTCATGATTGGTGAGGCTTTGAGGTTTTGGAGCAATGTGCGAAATATTTGTTTCTTGCGACGGAGGTAGGGGCGATAGGGGAGGTGGGCGGAACGGAATGGGAGTCACTCGACAACGTTGTTCGCGAAACATTCAGAATGCTTGTTGTTGACTTTGATTGAAACGGATTCTGTTTCCACCGCCCTCGACAGCAACACTGAGCCCTGCAGACGTAAACTACGAAGAAACACTTTCTACCCTACGCTATGCATACCAGGCCAAGCGCATTGTCAACCGTGCCGTTGTGAATGAAGATCCTCGCGCAAAGCTCATTCGAGAAATGCGCGCGGAAATTGAAGAGCTGCGAAAGCAACTTCAAGGTTTTATTACGAGCGGTGTTGCCCCGCTTGCCGCGCCGAGCACTGCTGCTACTGCGTCTGACCCGCACAACAGTGGCGGCAATGCTGAACTGGACGACGGTCTGGATGATGGAGAACGAACAGTCCGGAGCAGCCGTGTTTTCAACGACGAATCCCAGCCGTCAGCACTCGACAGTGGCACCAGCCCGATGTCTCCCGGGGCAACGGCAGATTCGCCACCACAGACTGGTGACGATCTCATTGAGCGCTTGCGAATGGCAGAAAAGCTCATTGTGCAGCTCTCGGCTCCTTGGGATGAGCGTGTGCAGCAGTCCCACGACATGCACATCGACCGGCAACACATGCTCACCCGGCTCGGTATTTTGGCCTCTGCTGACGGCGACACGGGCGCCACGAGCACTCACCCTGTTTCAACCTTGGCAGCCCATCCAACGGCCATGCTGGCGGACAATGTGCTTTCTGCCTCCTCGTCTTCTCGCGTCACGGCGCTGAACGCACCACAGTCAGGGCCCCACTTTGTCAATTTGAACGAGGATCCCCTCATGTCTGAATATCTCGTGTACGGACTACGGATTCCGCAAACGACCATCGGCTCGGCCGAGGATGCAGACATCAAGCTCATGTCTTCTTCCGTCCAAGCCATCCACTGCATCATACTGTGTGTTGATGGTGTGGTTACCATCCACGCCTGTCCCGGTGCCGAGGTCTACATTAATGGCAACATTGCCAAGAACGAGGCTGGACCGGTCCGGCTGCACCAGGGATACCGGGTCGCCATCGGGCGTCGACATCTCTTCCGCTTTGTTCACCCAGAGGAAGCGCGCGCCGAGCGGTCGAACTCCACGCAACCCACGCGTACAATGGACTGGGCCCTTGCTTCCTCAGAGCTGTACGAGAAAAACAAGCTGGGGTTTGGAAGCGCCAGCAACAACCCTGCTCTCGAGTTGTCGCTGTCTGGAAGACCCGGCTCTCCGCAGTCTGGCAGTGTCACGGCGAGTAGTACAAACTTGCTCGAGGCGCCAACGAACGAGAGCGGTCGACAGCGGCCGCTTTCGCCGCAGCCACCGCTTCGCGCCATGACAAGCTGCAGCTCCAGCGAGGCAGGAAGCTCTGCCTATGTTGCAGTGGATGCGTCAGGCACAGCACGCTTGCATGGCGATGCGCTGGTGTTTGGTAGTCTTGTGTGGAACAATCTTGGCGATGAGGATTTCGACGACTTGGAGATGCTGACGACGAGTGCGTCGTCGCCACCGCCACTGCCGGACGGCGATGATGGTGCGACTGCCCTCTCGGACGGGACGTTGTCGAGCAACGCTGGCGCCCGCATCAGGCCAACCTCGCCACCCAAACGGCCTGCTCCACGTCGCGCCGTCCCCTTCTCGATCGTCGGGTGGCAACCGGCTGACAATCTAATCCTTACCGATGCGATTTCTGGCATGCCAGTCAATGTCGCGTCTACGATGACTCAGTTTGCTCCACCCCCTCGCTTTGATGGCAGCACCAATTCGCTCTCAAACATTTCTGAATCTGGGGAACGTTCGGCAGATGATGAGGTCAACGACAACAACGACGACGGTGGCGACGACGACCACGGCGACGACACCGACAACAAAACCAAAAGCGACGCTGACGCGCACGACGAGAGCGACGGGCACGAGCAGCGCTTGGCGCGGCCAAGAACGCAGTCGACAACGTCGACGATGGACAACCCGTTCTTGACGAGACACTTTTCCTTTGCGCACAAGGAAGCCGAGCGCGAATCCATCCTGAGCATTCTTGTTGCCGAGATGACGACGCGGATGGTGCCATTCCGTCTCACTCCTGCCAGTCTGCTCTACATGACTTTGCGCCACTGCGTGGAGGCCCACAGTTCTGAGGACGAAATGATTGAATTCATGTCGTCCATCATCCGATGCCTCGAGCTGTCTCACAAGCGATGGCGCACAACGCGCGACGTGGAAATGCTCAGCTTTTGGCTTGCGAATGCCTCAGAGCTGCTGCAGTGTCTGCGGCGCGACATTGACCTGATGGCGCTGTCGGGCGAAACGCAGCTCTCGCTCACCGACTTTGTGCAAGACACCTTCCAGAGCCTCCTGGTGGCCATCCAAGCACGCATTCTGCTCTTGCTTCCTGGCCTCTTGCATGGCTCGCTGGACCCTTCGCCGAGTACTACTGGCAGTGGCGTCGCCATAGGAGCGACCGATCCGTCGCCGTTTTCCGTGGATTTGCTGCTCGAGACGTTGACCATCATGCTGGACATTGTCAACGACTGCACGGTTCATCCCGTGATTACATCCCAGCTCTTCACCCAGCTCTTCCACTGGATTACGGCCGTCGTGTTTAATCTGATTGTCTACAAGGGTCTGGCCTTCTCGGCCAGCACAAACCAGTCCATGCAGCAACAGAAGCAGCAGCACATGCTCCACACAATGCCCTACCGACAGCAGCTTCTCCAGCAACACCAGCAGCTGCTCGCATCGACCTCTGCGGTGGCGAGTGCTGGCAGCAGCCCTCACGCCTCCCCGATCGCCTCCATGTCGTCCGCACCTGCCTCTCCCGTCATGCGCGCCCAAGGCACATCCGCGCAGCAGCTGACTGTCCAAAACCAGCAAGTCATGTCGTTTTACGGCCACCTGCTGGCCCAGCTTCCAGAGTTTGCAGGCAACTCTGGCGGCTTGACCTCTGGTGCGACGCTGGCTGTCACCAACCCGGCAGCCGTGGCGCATCTCGCGTACCGCTGGCAACAGGGCATGCAACTGCGGTTCAATATTTCGCGGATTGAGGATTGGGCCAACTCGAAGGGCTTGCGCAACGCTGCTAGTCAGCTTGGCGTCCTTGTTCAAGTTGCGCAGCTGCTGCAAATGAACAAGTCTTCGTTGGGAGACATGGATCCGATCTGCGATACCTGCACCGAGCTCAATTCTGTCCAGTTGCGCCACTTTCTCGAGCGGTTCCGGGACCAGGACGCGGCAGGCGCGAACACTGTGCCGGCCACACTGATTGACTGTGTCGTTGGACGCACCATGAACGCGGTAGATGCGCAGCTGCTTGCTGCTTCGCGAGAAGGCATTTTGCGGTGGGGCGTGGCAGTCGCCGACTCGTCCGACCACGTTCAGGCCCAGTATATTGCTCAGTTGCACCAATCGAACGCAGTGGCGTCGCGAGAGCTTGGCATTGGCACCCCTCATACCCATGTCGCGGCCATGAATAGCAGCACGGCTGGTGTTAGCGGCACGTCGGGCGCTGCGCTCGTCACTTCGGCCTCGGCCGGCTCCGCTGTGGTCACCCTGCTGCTCGACCCGCTGCATCCCCTGCCATTCCAAATGCCCTCGACCGGCCATCACGTCCTGTCCCTGTCTTCCGGCATGATGGCGGGTCTGGTTGAGTTCAAGCGCATCTTGCGCGAGCGGCTTGACGAAGCTGCCATGCTGAGGTCGGAGTCGACCAGCTCGCTGGCCTTTTTGAGCCCCGAGGACGGTGCTGCTTCCGGTGCTGTCCCAGCATTGCTGTCGTCCAGCGCCCATTCGTCGCCCGCTGCCCTTTCGCGTCGTCTCGCCACCTCCACCGGTCCCGGCTCCCCTGTCGCGCTCGATTCGCCCAGTGCAGTCCCCAAGCGAGGCTTTTTCGATGTTGTCTTCCGGCGCACCCTCTCCAGCCCGCGCGCCGACATCTGAGCCCCTCTTGTTGTTGTTGTTGTTGTTGTTGTTGTTGTTGTTTGAGTTTTTCGTGATTTTTTAATTCTTTTTACATTCTACTAATAGCATACTGTACTTTCACAGCAAACCCCCGCTTTCTCATTTGACATGCATGTCATATTCACCCTTCATCACAACAGATCTACAAATGCAAGCTCACTCGTTCCCTTTTTTTTTTTTTTTTTTTTTTCTATCATGCTGGTCGGTCTTCCACCGCGGCTGGTTCTGCTGAGCAGTGGACGAAGCCTCTGGACATGCGCTGCTGGCTCTGTCGCCCACGCCGGCAGCACCACAGGCCCATCCGGTACGTTGCTTTTGTTTTGTTGCTTTTGGTCTTGGTGCGGCTCGTTCGGTCAACGGAGACGCTGTCCAATGGAAGTCCAATGGAGCTGCAATGGAGAGTGCATGTGTCGAGATCGCGCTTTTTTTTTTTTTTTTTTTTTTTTTTTTGCCTCGTTTTGCTTCGTTTGGATTGACGGACGGTTTGTGTGTGTGTGCGGCGACTTAGGATCGAAAGGTGCATCATCATCATCATCAACGCCTGCAGCAGCAGCAGCAGCAGCAGCAGCAGCGACCACGAGCGCAGCCGGAGCACAGCAGAGCAGCCAGGTGCGCGACACCCTGCCTGGCCCGCGACGCAGCTACCGCCCAGTCGTCCGTGCTGCGTACAAGGGCGGATTGCAGGCGCCGGGACTTGAGGGCCAGACCGCGCGCAGACCGACCAAGCGCGAGTGGGGCCAGGCTGCCTCGACGCTCAGTCGCAAGCAGCAGATCGCCCTCTGGAACAAGCAGGACGCCGCAACGCCGCTCGAGCAGCGCAACCGACGCCTGACAGACCGAATTGAGCGCAACGTCGTCTTCCGGCCGTCCCAGCAGGTCGTCGAGGAGATTGTCCGAGACCACCTCGAAGAGCAAAGCCAGGCGCGCGAGCCCGACGACGAACCCAAATCGCGCTCGGAGCTCCTCCCAAACCTCAAGTTCCTTCGCCAGCTCCGTAATCTGCCAGATTCGGCGCGCGGCACATCCAGTCTTGCTGGCTCTGGCCTGGAAGACTTGCAGATTGATTTGAAAGCCCTCGAAGACAAGGTGAAGATTTCTTGTTGTTGGTCTGTTTTCGCACTTTTTGCGTGTGTGTGTATGTGTCACCCGGTCGTTGTTGCTCATCACCGGTTTCTCTTTTTGAACATCCTCGCCACTAGGCCATGCCCACGGACGAAGAGGCGCACGCACGTCGCATTGAGGCCGCCGCAGACATTTACCACCCAACCAACCCGCTGTCGATTCGCACAAAAGCCATGGTGCACGTCATCTCGCGCGGCTTCCAAGTCCGCCTGGTTGAGGTCAAACGTGTGTCGACCATGCTGCGCACGGGTCGTCGTCACATGATGCAAGCGCTCGCGCTTGTCGGCAATGGCCGCGGTGTGATTGGCTTTGGCATGTCCAAGGTATGCTCGCTTGTTTGTTTTCTGGGCAGTTGTTTGTTTTGCCAGTTGACTCGATTTTTTTGGTTTGTTTTTTTGTCTTTTCTGTTTTCGCTTTGACAGGACGCTGTTGCGCAGCAGGCCGTGCACAAGGCGATTATTCAAGCATGTCACAACTTGTACCCCATTCCTCGCTTCAATATGCACACCATTTACCACCCTATGGAAAATAAGGAAGGCCGATCGCTGGTCAAAATGTGGCCTGCGCCTCAAGGTGAGCAAGCAATTCCGCACGGCTGTTTGCACTCACTGCTGGTTGCTTGTGCGATATGTCTCATGTGGCTGACTCTTCCTTTTGTCCTGTTGCTTTGTGGATCTAGGCCACGGCTTGGTCTGCCACGGTGTCATTCGCATGATTGCCGAACTTGCCGGCATCTCCGACCTGACTGCCACGGTTATCAACAGCAAGCGAAACTACCACAACATTGTCCGAGCCACCGTGTTTTCATTGTACTCGCAGCAGACAGCACGAGATGTTGCGCTCAAACACGGCAAAAACCTGCTTGAAATGAAGCGCATTCCCGCGTTGACTCGCCCCGACTTTTTGTAAAGTCTTTTGTTGTTGATGTGTCATAACCATTAAAAAGAACACCTTTTTTGCCTTTTTTCGGCTCTCAAAGTCTCGACGTCTCGTCGTCTCGTAAGAAACTCAGTCCATCTTTTTCTTTCTTCTTTCTTCACCATGACATTGCGTTCTGCTGTATTTGTGGCAGTGTGCATTTTCGCTGCCCTTGCAACGGTAAACCTTACTTTTCTTCCCTTCTTCATCTCCTATGCCTGCGTTTCCGCTTGCTGCTCATACACATCTCTATCTATCTGTGTGAGTGAGTGTGTCTTGCTTGGGAACGGTCGAGTCGGGCGTGGGGGGGGGACGAGGCTTCTTTTAATGATTTGGCCGATGGCTGAATCAACATCAACCCGTTTTTCCCTTGACCCGCTCCTCCATCCTCATCCATCCTCATCCATCCTCATCCTCGTCTTCCTCCGTTCCGCGACTTTATCAAGCAGAGACGTGCGATCGTTTTTTTCGTCCTGCTCTTCACTAGACTTCTGCCATGCACTGCCCTCCCATCAACAACCGCTTTTGCTCGAGCAGCGTGAACGAGGCTTTAATTATCAATGGCCGGCGGCTCATCATCATCACCCCATCACCACTTTGTGGACTTCACTCTCAATTATGAAGCTGGGTTGTTGTTTTGTGGAGTCGTGTGGCCGGCGCTTTTGGCAGGCGATCGCGCTCTGTAATCAAAACGAAAGAAGCAAAAAAAAAAAAAAAAAAAAAAAAAAAAAAAAAAAAAAAGGAAACAAATTGTTGGTATCGTTTAGTGGTTTAAAACCTGCTTCTTTGATACTCTTTCGCTGTGTTCGCGGCTATGTTTTGCCAACCTCGCCTCTAATCGATTTTTTGTTTTGTTTGGTTGTTTTCTGCTCGTTTTCTCATCCATTGCCCATCCCTTGTGTAACAGTGCTCGCTCGCGCTGCCTGCGAGGAGCGCCCCCAAGTACAACACCTCCGGCGGCCCGATGGCTGGCAAGCTCAACGTGCACTTGGTCGCACACACTCACGACGACGTGTAAGTCACCCCCTCACTTGCCCTCTCTTTCCGAGTCGGACACACGGGCTGTGCATCTTCCACAGTGGACCGTAACATCAACCCAATAAATACGCAGTAGAAACGCCACGGTGCCCGGCGTTGGGACGAAGAGAATCAGATTGGTGCTTGTGACTCGATTGCTCATTTCACTCACTCCATCCTCCATCCCACATCCCACTCAATACTCATGCACTCATGCACGTTGCACTTTGTAACTCACCTTGCATCCAATCCCGTCGCTTTTTTGTTTTTGTGTTGCTCTCTGATCAGCGGCTGGCTCAAAAACCCCGACCAATACTACGCCGGCTTGAACAACTCAATCCAGGACGCCAAGGTCCAGTTTGTGCTCGACACGGTCATGCAAGAGCTCGAGCTCAACCCGGATCGCAAGTTCATCTACGTCGAAATCTACTTTTTCTCGCGCTGGTGGCAGGAGCAGGACGAGGACACGCAGAAGCGCGTCAAGGAGTACGTCCAGCAGGGCCGCCTCGAGTTTATCAACGGAGGCATTGTCATGTCGGACGAGGCCGCCACCCACTACGTTGCCACCATCGATCAGATGACGCTCGGCCATCGCTTCTTGCTCAACACGTTCGGCGTCAAGCCGCGCATTGGCTGGCACATTGACCCGTTCGGCCACTCGAACGAGTTTGCCTCGCTGTTTGCCCAGATGAGCTTTGACGGCTTCTTCTTTGGCCGCATCGACTACCAGGACAAGGACCGCCGCCTCAAGGACAAGGACATGGAGATGATTTGGCGCGGCAGCTCGTCGCTTGGTGCCGCCTCGGAGATCTTTGCCGGCGTCAACTACAACGGCTACAACCCTCCGGATGGGTTTTGCTTTGACCAGTACTGCGGCGACGATTCCATCCAGGACGACTTCCGCCTCGAGGACGTCAACGTTGAGGAGCGCGTGAACGACTTTGTTGCCGCCTGCCTCGACCAGGCCCAGCACTACCGCACCAACAACATCCAGCTCACCATGGGCTCGGATTTCCAGTACTCGAACGCTCGCCTGTGGTTCAAGAACCTTGACAAGCTCATCCACTACGTGAACGCCGATGGCCGCGTCAACGTCTTCTACTCGACCCCGTCCATCTACCTCGACTCGCTCCATGCCGCCAACCTGACCTGGTCGTACAAGACGGACGACTTTTTCCCGTACGCCGACGGCCCGCACGCCTACTGGACTGGCTACTTTACCTCGCGCATCGCGCTCAAGGGCTTTGAGCGCACGTCGTCCGCCTTCCTCCAGTCGTGCAAGCAGCTCGAGGCCGTCCGTGGCCACTCCAACCTCGCCAACTCTGAGCAGCTCAACCTGGCCGTGGCCGTCCTGCAGCACCACGACGGTGTCTCTGGCACCTCCAAGCAGCACGTTGCCTACGACTATGCTCGCCGCGTCTCGGAAGGTCTGTCCGAGTGCGAGACTGTCATCAACCGTGCTCTCGGCGACTTGACGTTTGTCTCTGGCCCCAGCGTGACCGAGTTTGTCCAGTGCCCGCTGCTCAACGTGAGCATTTGCGCAATGAGCGAGACCAGCGCCAACTTTACCCTGGTTGTCTACAACCCCGTTGGCTTTGCTCGTGCCCACCTTCCTCGCTTCCCCGTCCCGTTCGGCTCGTATGCTGTCTATGACGAGAAGGGCCTTGTGATTCCCTCGCAGGTCGTGAGCATGCCTTTCGAGACCCAGCGCCTTCGCGCCGAGATTCTCGGCGAGGAAGCTGCCGCTGCCGCCAACTACCTCCTTGTCTTTGCCGTCCCCACCACCGGCTTTGGCTTTGCCACCTACTTTGTCAACCGCACTTCCGGCCCCAACGGCGAGGATGTCGCTCTCGAGACTGCCGCTGTCGAGAAGATTCGCAGCGCTGAGGAGTTTATCGACACTGGTGCCGAGAGCTTTGCGCCCAAGGCTGACGTGACCATGGAGAACCAGAACGTTATCGTCACCTTTGACGGAAACACTGGTCGCCTCAAGTCCCTCACCAACAAGATTAGCCAAATCTCCTCTGCCGTCACCCAAGACTTTTTCTACTACAACTCGTCCTGGGGCACCTCCGACGACGAGCAGGCGTCTGGCGCGTACATTTTCCGTCCCAACCGCACTGCCGTCTTCCCCGTCAATGCCGCCCCTATTGGCGTGACTGTCGTTCGCGGCAGCGTCTTCCAGGAGGTCCGCCAGGTCTTCTCGAACTGGGTCACCCAGATTGTCCGCCTGTACGATGGCGACAACGACGTCGAGTTTGAGTACACCATCGGCCCCATTCCCTACGACATTCCGGAAGGCAAGGAGGTCATTACTCGCTTCTCGAGCGATCTGGCTTCTGGCGGCACGTTCTACACTGACGCCAACGGCCGCGAGATGCAGCGCCGTGACCTCAACTACCGCCCCACTTGGAAGCTCAACGTCACCGAGCCGGTTGCCGGAAACTACTACCCCGTCAACTCGCGCATCCACACGATCGACAAGACCAACAACCGTCAGCTCTCCATCCTGACCGACCGCTCGATGGGCGGCTCTTCCCTCGCCGACGGCCAGCTCGAGCTCATGGTCCACCGTCGCCTCTTCTACGACGATTCTCGTGGTGTTGGCGAGCCGCTGAACGAGACGGGCCTGCTTGGCACTGGTCTTGTCATTCGTGGCATCATGTACGTCACGCTCGAGACTGCCGCGCTCTCGCCGCGTGCCGTCCACCCCTCTGCCGTCCTCATCGCCCACCCTGTCGCTATGGCTCTTGCGCCCCTCTCCACGGATGTGGCCACCTACGTTGCCAACCACGTCACGTCCTGGACTGCCCTGGACAGCCCCCTGCCCCCGAACATTCACCTGCTCACCTTCGAAATCCTCCCGTACGGCCCGTCGCATCTGGAGGTGTTGCTTCGCCTGGAGCACTTCTACGAAGTGAACGAAGACACCAAGTACTCTGGCCCCGTCACGCTCGACCTGTCGACCTTGTTTGACCCCTCTGTTCTGACTGTCACCAGTGCCGTCGAGTACAACCTGTCTGCCAACCAGCGCTCGTCTCAAGTCTCGCGTCTGCAGTGGAGCCACACTGCTGTCGCTGAGAACAAGGCTCAGGAGGCCTTCTTCAAGTCCATTGATGCTGGCATCTCGGTGACTCTGCAGCCCATGCAGATCCGCACTTTCCAGCTCTCCATCACCCGAGTCTAAGACGACGTGCTTTTTTGTTCTTTTGAACAATGCTGTGCCCTCCCTTCATGTCAAGTGTTCTGTTCTGTGGATGATTTTTTTTTTATCGGAATGAAGGATGGAAAAAGTCAACAATTCAACACACACAGTAGGGCTGGGGTTTTTGGTGTTTGTGTTTGTGTATGTATGTGTGTTGAAGTAACAACAGAGTGAAAAACGGAGCCTTGGCCATCCGCCGACTTTATTGAAACACAAACGGACGATTGCAGTGCTTTGTCAAAAATGGCTTTAGGCATCGCAATATGTGCTGATACACATTTTCAAAGTCTTGTTCATCGCCCTACACAAGCAAAGCAGCAAGATCGGGGTGAGCAACAACCACACATCAACGGATGGGGAAACAAAATGCAAACACAACTTTCAATCATTGGCGACTTGCATAAAACGGGTCCAGAATCTCACGAACGCCTTTAGGGTCGTAATCGCCCAGCAGTTCAAGTCGTGCGCCTTTGGACGAGCCAGCCTAAATGAGAGAGAGCGAGAGACAAACAAGACGAGGTGAGAAAACAAATAGGCCAAAACAGCCTTGACAGCGATTAACACTCAAAAGCTCTTCAGCTCCAAACCTTCATTGTCTGCAAATACTTGTAGTTTTCTCGGTCCATGGCCAGGATGAAGTCGTAGTGATCGAAATCATCCTCGACGACCTGAAACCACGTTTGAGCACGAAGAGCGTCAGTCACCAAACTCGACACACTTCAAGCCATCACCGCCGACCGCCCGCCCCCGAAAAAAACTCCTGATACAGGCATGAACGATGTTCATACCTGTCGACAGACGTGCGAGAGGAAGACGCCGTGGTGGCGGCAGATTTTAAATGTCCGTGGATCGGGTTGCTGGCCGTCGTTCCAATCGGAGGTGGCTGCCGAGCCCACAAACCACCGCAGCGACCGCGAGTGCGGCTGTGTTGATGCAGATGCGGTTTGCTCCACTTGCTCTGACGCCCGAAGCAGGTGTGCACAGAGCGCCTCGGCCATCGGCGAACGGCAAATGTTCCCTGTTGCACCAGCAGCAATGGGATGTGAGCTCTGTTTTGATGACAATGTCTGAGACGCTTTGGCAAAAAAACGGATTTGGCTTACCAAAGCAGACAAACAAGATGCCCTTCGAGTCGCTCATCGATGGGTGTGTTAATGTGTGTTAATGTGTGTTAGTGTGTGTGTTCTTTCAGATTTCAGACGATGAGTACGGAGAGATGGAAAAGTGAAGAAGACTGAAGACTGAAGACTCAAGTCATCCGTCGTTGCTCCAGAATTCTCAGACACCCCCCCCCCAGATGCCGACTTTCGCTCAAACAGTGCACCGAGAGAGAGAGATAGATAGATAGCTGATGAGAGTGTGTTGTCGATTGCTCTCTCTATCCGTCTCTTTTCGCATTGCTTTTACAGTATTCCGTTCATTCCCTTTCGTTGATTTACAACTTCTTCTTCTTCTTCTTCTTCTTCTTCTTCTTCTTCTTCTTCTTCTTCTTCTTCTTCTTCTTCTTCGGTTTTTTTTCTTTCAAACTCTTCCAATCTTTGATCAAACTTTTATTTTTTTTTTTGCATGACAGCATTCCAAAATGATCAACATTCAAAAGAACAAAAACAGAGACAAATAACAGATCTGATTTCAGTGTTTGTTTTGGTTTTTTTGATCTTTTTTATCTTTTTTCTTTCTTTTCTTTCTTTCTGTTTCTTTGCTTGTTTTGATCTACAAAAATGAGTCATCAACAGCAACAGCAACAGCAACAGCAACAGCAGCTGGAGCTCAAGCAGCTCGACGCGGATCCCGCAGCAGCAGCAACAGCAACAGCAGCAGCTGAAGAAGTATCCGCTGGCATCGAAGCCATCCAGCGAGTGCGCGCAGTCAAGATGCAGCTCTTCCTGGGCTCGCTCGCTGCAACCCACCGCTCGAATGCAGCAGCAGCAGCAGCAGCAGCAGCGGGCGACGCGGGCGCGGGTGTGATGCTGGGTGGCGGCGACCCTGGCAGCGGCACCGTCAGCCCACTCTCACGCCCTGACTCGCCGAATCCGCTGTTCGCCGACAACAACAGCAACAACCTGACCGACGCAGCGACAAACAGCCCCGCGACTCTGCACTCGCACGCCATGACGGCGACTGCGGGGTCTGGTGCTGCGGCGGCGGCAGGTGTGGCGGGTGCGGCGGGAGCGACGCTCTCCACGCCCGATGCGAAATCTACCGCTGCTGCTGCTGCTGCTGTTGTTGTTGGGCAAGGGCACACGAAGGCCATTGCGTCGGCAGTGTTTGCACCCGACCAGTCGTGGCTTGTGACGGGCTCCCGCGACACGACCTTGCGCCTGTGGCACTCGCAGACCGCCCAGCCGCTCGACCAGGTCGAAACGAGTTCCCAGCAGCAGCTGGCAGAGCGCAAACCCGCCAGTCCCTCGCCGCCGGCCGTCAGCGTTGTGCGTGGCCTGCATACGGAGGGTGTGGACAGTGTGGCCGTCTCGCCCGATGGCAAGCGCATTGCCTCCGCAGCCTGGGACACCTCTGTGTACGTGCTCGAGGCTTCGACCGGAAACCGCGTTAGCAAGCTCGGAGGTTTGGCCGCCAAGGTCAACATGACCTCGCTCCACTTTAGCCCTGCCATCCAGGCACTCGAGTCGGTTGTCCCGCCCATCTCGACAGACCGTCTGGACGAGAACGGCATTGATGCCACCCACGACTCTGGCGCGTTCCTGGTGGCTGCCTCGTCCGATGCGCGCCAGCACGTCGCGGCGCTGTTTTTCGCCTCGTCCGGTCAAGAGATTCGTCAGTTCTCGGGCCACACGGCGTCCATCATTATGTGTCGCTTTTCGCCGGGAGGTCGCCGTGTTCTGACCGCATCCAAGGACACGACTCTGCGCATTTGGTCGGCGGCAACGGGCCAGTGCAACCACATCCTGATCGGGCACTCGGCAGCGGTTGTCGCCTGCGCGTGGTCGCCGTCCATCAGCTCGCCGTTGGTGGCCTCCGCCTCGCTGGACGGTGTTGTGGGCCTGTGGAATCCAGCGTCTGGCGTGCTCATCCGCTCCTTCTACGGCCATGCCCCTGCAACGTCCGGTCGCATCACGGTTGAATTCTCCCCAGACTCGTCCCAGATTGTCTCGGCCTCGTCCTCTGGTCTGGTGTTCCTTTGGGATGTGAGCTGCGGCGCCATGCTGCGCCGCCTCGACATGACCACTCACGCCTTGATCCCTGTCGCGGCTAGCGACTACTCGGGAAGCGGCGATTTCTCCGCATCGCCCATGCCACAGTCTCCGACGAGCCCTGGTGGCTTTTCCACAGGCAGCAGTGCCCTTTCTGCAGCGAGTGCGGCCGTCTCCGGAGGCGTCAACCCCACTTTTGTGGCCAGTCTTGCCGCTTTGGGCAGCCTGCTCAACGCCGTCTTTTCTCTCGACGGCTCGCGCTTGCTGTGCAGCTATGCGACGGAGGACTATGGTTTGCGCGTGATTGACTCGCAGATCGAACCCACCCCAAACTTTTACCGACACGTCAAAGCCGTGGTTTGTTGCGCGTTCAGTCCCGATGGGAAGCGCGTGGTGAGCTCCGCCGCGCTGGGGCCGGTCTGTGTGTGGGATGCGGCCACATGCGAAACCCTCCTCGAGCTCACTGGCCACAGCCACACGGTCAAGTCCTGCTGCTTCCAACCACGCACTGGAAAAATGATTCTGACGAGCTCTTGGGACAAGACATTCAAGCTGTGGGACTCCAACACGGGAACCTGCTTGGCCACAGGTACTGGCCACGATGGGCCCATCAACTACGCGACGTTCGGACCGAGAGATCCGCTGATTGCTACCGCGTCTGGCGACGGCTCCATCAAGCTGTGGAGATACGCCACCTCATCTGCCGCCGGGGGAACGGTCACTGTGCAGCTTGTCGCCACTCTGGCCAGCCACAAGGGTGCCGTCAACTATGTCGTGTTTTCGCCCGACGGTACCTTGCTCGTCTCGTGTGGGTTTGATCGATCCGTCCGTCTTTGGTCAATCCCGCAGATCCTGGCCGCCGTTGCCGCCGCTGGAGTGGGCGCCTCCTCCCCGCCCATTATCACCAACCCTCTGAATGTTTTGCAAGACCACACCAACTCTGTTCTCTCTGCCAGCTTCTCGCCCGACGGGTCGAGGTTGGCAACCACGTCGCTCGACAAGTCTGTCAAGATCTGGGACGTCAGAGCGCTCGCACGCATGCGAGGCGGTGCTGGCGGCAAGGCCGTGTCGCTCGATTCCGATGGCGGAGCGACTGATTCCCCCGCCGCCGACGATGTGACCATTGCTGGCGGCATTGGCATCTACGCCACGGCCTCTGGCTTCACTTCAACCCCGAGCTTCAGTCCCATTGTTACCCTCCACCAGGCCCATCTCAATGCCGTCACCTCGAGCGCATTCTCGTCCAACGGAGCGCGTCTGCTGACCGTCGGTCGAGACCGGACGCTCAAGGTGTGGTCGCTGCTGAGCTCGTCGCTCGTGTGCGAGATGGCCTTCCGCCTGTCGTCCGAGGCAGAGTGTGTGGCATGCGCGCCAGTGTCTGCTGCAAACAGCTCGATGCAGCACATGCTGCAGGGGGTTGTCGTCGTCGCCATCGCCCTGCAGGAAGGCGCAGTCACGGTCATGGATGTGTCCAAGAGCGATCCGCCCACCACGTCGATGGAACTGCTGATCGAGCTGCAAGACTTTGCCTCGTTGCGCCGCATTACAAGCGAGTTCCCGCACACCATCAACGCTCCGCTTCTCGACGGACGTCGCACCGTCGTGCACCGTGCAGCCGAGCGTGGCAACAACGACCTGCTTGGCGCCTTGCTCTCTGCCAATGCGCCGTTCCTGCTTGTCATGGACAGCGAAGGCGAGACTGCCATCGATGTGGCGTTGGTTCGCAACCACAAGTCGACCGTGCAGCTGCTTGTTCGTCGCCTCTACACGCCGCCGTTTGGCTTGCACCCATCCAACGGCTTTGCAGTCACTCGACTGCTTCCACGTTTGATTCGCAAGTACCCCGACGTTGCGACAGAGCTTCTGGAGAACCTGGACATGCTTTGCGCGCCACCGCTTGATTCGCGGCCGCTCAGCTTCTTCCCGTGCGTGTCCCACGCCTACTTGGAGGTGGCGCGCCATGAGCGCCCGCTGGCCTTCCTCCAGAGCCTTGGTGCGGCTGGCATTGGTCGCGTGGACGCGTCCACCACCTCCGACGGGTCCAGTCCTTCGATTGTGGATGCCGCGAGCTTTTCGACCGTGGGAACCCTCATCGAGAATCTGCAGTCTGGCCTGACCGCGCCCATTGAGCCAGACGAACGGCTGGTTCGCGCGTCCAACTCGCTCATGGACACCAGCGCCGTCTGGTCGGATCTGGTGGCAGAGCATGATGCGACCAACAGCCGCGCCAACGTCACGACCGCTCGCCAGGTGCAGTCTGACCAGCAGGGCACGCAACAGTTGTCCCACCAGCAAGGCCAGCTCGACGATGACGATGATGACGAGGCCTTGGCCAAGCTGCATGACGACAGTCTTTGGTACGAGACGCGCCTGCCCGTTTCGCTGTGCGTTGTGCCCCTTCCGTACATTCTTGGGTTTGATGCTCGCGCGCAGGTCCGTGCTCTCCCGGCGGTTGCCGAAGCCGTCGAGGCGCCTCCCAGCACTGCCGCGTTGGGTGGCGCAGGCGTCCCGAAGCCCATGTCGGAACACTCGGCCACCATCGGACGTCCCCGCAACAATTTCTTTGCTCGCGTCAACACGCTCTTTACAGGCAAATCTCTCAATGTTCCTCCGACAGGCAACATTGATTCGCACAATCCTGAAGGCTTCACCCGCATCTACAAGACTGCCTTGCGCGAGACGTTCATGCATGCAGCCCTGCGCTCGCGCCACAAGGACATCTTCCGGACTGGTATCATGCACGCCGTGATGGATTACAAGTGGCAGGCCTTCGGCCGCAACCGCTTCCTCTGGTGGCTCCTGTGGTATACCTGCTTTGTGGTTTTGTATACCATTGTGACTGCTCTTGCGATTTCACGCAACGCCACGTAAGTTTCTGTGGGAGGTGACTTGGGGAGAGTGTGTCTCGCACCGACAATGTCGACCGTGATTGCTGTGTGTGCGATTTGCTGATCTCATTTTTCTTTCATTGTTGGTGTGGGGTTTTTGTGTGTGTGTTTCGTTTGTTTGTTTATTTGCTTTGGTTTTTTGTTTGCCGCATCTTCCTCGAATCCTCAACAGATGCGAGTCCTTCCCATTCGATTCGACTGTCCCGGCTTTCGAAAACGCGGGCGACTGGATTTTGCTTGGATTCGAGTGCCTGACACTGCTTGTCGACCTGTACCTGGTCGGGTACAATTTGGTGAAAATGTACAAGCAGGGCAAGATGTGGTTCTTCTCATTGTGGAACCTCGTCGAGATGATCGCGGCCCTTTTGGTGCTGGCCATTGTGCCGTTGCGAGCGACATGCCAGACGGCAGAGGCCGGCGTGGTGGCCGTTGCAGGACTGCTGTTGTGGTTTCGTCTTGTTTCGTTCGCCCAGGCCTCGCAGCAAGCTGGTATCCTCGTGTTTGCGCTTTCGCGCATCATCCAAGACATTGTCATGTTCCTGGCGCTGCTCATTCTACTCATTTTGAGCTTTGGCCACGCCTTCTACGTGCTCTTTGGCGGATCTCCCGCGGTTCCCAGCTACAAGACATGGTCGCAGTCCGTCGTCACGTCCTATCGCATTCTTCTTGGTGATTTCGACTTTGGCGAATACGACGACTCGATCACTCCCGTGCTGGCCAAGATCATCTGGGGCATCTTTACAGCCCTGATGACTGTCATTCTCCTGAACGTGTTGATTGGTGCGTATTGATTTGGATTTTGCGGGGGGGGATGCTTCGGGGTTGGAGTTTTTTGGCGACAGAGGCAATGAAGGGCACCACCGCTCACTTGCTGATTTTTGGGTTGCCCTTGATTTGCTCGGTTTTGGTTGCCAGCCCTTCTGTCCGACAGTTACCAAAACGTCAAGGAGAATGCAGAGGTTGAATGGCGCATTTCGCTTGCCGGCATCATCGCCGAGTTCGAAATGGCCATGACTCCGAAGCAGCGCGCCCGGATGGCTCCAAAGTGGGTTCACTTTGTGGTTCCGACCCAAGCCGTCCAGGATGCAGCTGCAGCCAAAGCAGCTGCAGCCAACAGCGCCTCCTCCCACCAGCAGGCAGCCGAAGCCGCAGTCGCAGCGCTCGCTTCACGTCTAGCAGACGTGGAGACGCACTTGGATGCTCGCCTCGATGCCGTCCTTCGTCAGTTGGAAAAGTTGAACGCCCGTGCTTGAGGCGCAGTTGTGTTGTCATTGCATTTGTTTTGGGTGGTATGTTCAATTTTAGTTTTCAGTCGCAGCTCCTTTCTTCAATCTCACCCCCTACCTGCTACAACCGAGATAGTGCAAAATCGTTCGGTTTAAGTCGCCTGTGGTGTCTGCAAATATTGTAATTCAGAACAAACAGACATATCCCGACATAAACAGATTCGAATCGCACATCAAAGGAAAACCCCGTTGGCTCGAACTTGAACTTGCCAACCATCGCGCATCTGTCGGATGCTGGGTTGGCTCGACGGCAAGATCGTCCCAAGGTCAACAATGGTCGAATCGACAAAACACATTAACGTGCAACCCTGCGCCCGTGAGACCCAGTGTATGAGCTCTGCATGCTCAGCCAGGAAGTGGAATCAAAAGGGTCGACAAGGTTGGTGCGATGGGTATGAAGGTGTTCAGACAGTGACCGATTACGGTTGGCACGGCGTCGGGGTGGCTGCGTTTCAAAGTTGGTCGGAATTTGCAAACCGGACGAGGAAACCGCGACAACTGGAATGGAGGGCAAGGTCACTGAGCTTTCGGCTTGTGAAGCAGCAGCGGCACCGGCAACAGCAGCAGTGGCAGCAGTGGCAGCAGTGGCAGCAGTGGCAGCAGCAGCAACAGCAGCAGCAGGAACAACAGCAGAAGCAGGAGCAACAGGCTCGGCTGCCTTTTCGGGCTCCGGGTGCGCACGAAGTCGCCAGCTGACATTGTTCAGATACCTCCGCAGGGTGCTGGACAACGCCGTCGTGATAGTGCTCAAAGAGATGCGGCCCATGACGACCAGCAAATGGCCTCGCTGCCAGTTGGGGTTGACCTCGTCGAAAAAGCGAATGTGTGGATCCCGCTCCTTGTCCTCGTCGGAAATCGCAGCAACACCCTTCTTCAGGTGCGACACTGTGCGGTTGACCACGCAGGTCACTGGGTCGTAGACTTCGTTCAGCGAAGCCACGGCCGAGCCAAACTTGTCCATCACGGCCTTCTCCCAGGCAGGGGTGGGCTGGTCGTAGCGAGGGAAGCACTCTCGAGAGTTGCGCACGGCAAACAGATACGACCGGACCGAGTAGGACTTCATGATCAGGTAAATGGACGAGAAGGGATGCAAGAGCTGCTCGCGAATGAGCATGAAGAGCAGGCCGACAATAAACCAGGGACCTCCGTGGTAGCGGTCACGGAAGAGAGCCAAACCGACCTTCATGACGATGCACGACTTGCCGTCGCGAGGCATGGTGGAATCTGGGCCGATCAGGAACATGCCGCGCAAGCTGCCGTCAAGGCGCTCGCGGAAAATGACAACGTTCTCAAAGGACAAGACATACTTTTGGAACAAGTCGGGCCCGCGACTCTGCTCGTTGGCACCGCGGTCGTTGACATCGACGAGCGAGTCGGCCAGCGAGTACAGCTCGGCCATGCTTGCAGCGTCCAGAAGGTGCGTCTTCACAACGTAAGGGAAGAGGCGGAGGTGTGGGTCTTCCAGCAGCTCGGCGCCCGATGGTCCTGCTAACAGCACGCAGAAGGTAATCAAGCGTCCCAGTGCTCGCCGGTAGATCGTGGAAACGGTCAGCAATGTGGCAATAGTGATGAAGGCGGTGGGGTGCGACCAGACCAGGTACTCTGGCACAAAAGGCTTCAGCATTTCCAGTAGATGGCCCAAAAGCCCAAAAAGCCACGCAACGAAAACTGCCGCCGCAATGGCAAGGTACCTGCGCAAGAGCGATTTACGACGCGCGTGACCAGCTCGGTTCTTTTCCACCCGTGCTACGCTGGATGCACGACGGCGAGCATGTTTGGACATGCCCGTTGTCGGCGGCGTGGGAGCAACCAGCGGCACAGTCTTGGGGAACCGGGGCGAGCGTGGCGAGCGTGGCGATCGTGGTGAGCGCGACGCGGTCACGGCAGGGCTTTGCGTCGTTTCATTGTCGGAATCCGGGGTCAAGACCAGTGGGGCGGGTCGGCGCTGAGGCTTTGCGGACGCGGCGTGCACGCTGCCATCTGGACTGTCATTCGGGGAATACTCGACGTTCTGTTTGGTTTCAGAGTTCTCGTCGGGAAGAGACAGTGCAGGAGGGTGCGGAATGTGCGACAGGTGATCCACATGCTCGACATGCTCGCTGTGATCAACAGACCGCATTTTCATCGAGACAGCAGGCATGGTGAAGGACAGCCGGGTGCTGGATGGCTGAGCCGCGTGGCCAGCGCTGACAATGTGAGGTGGCAAAAGATCGGGCACGCCCGCCGCGGCGGCTGTTGCAAGCACTACTGCGCTCAAGGTTGCCGTGCTCAGCGTCGTTGGTGGCGAGAGTGCTGGGGCCTGGCTGTGTCGTGACCAGAAGCTGAGCTGGCGCAGTCATCCGAGACGAGACACGGAGAGAGTGTGCCTGCGAAGGTCGAA